GATTTTTGTCTTACCTACAATTTAAAATGTTTTTGAGGTAAATTGAATTTGTTTTCTTGCGGTTTAAATACCCTGTTTGCACGCATGTCAGGTCGTGTGAGTAAGTGCAGGGGGTAACTTATATCCCCGTAAACAACAATTACGATCGTCAAGGTCACACACCATGACGGCAGTAGCTTCGTTACATGTTACATATCCACTATAAAACAGGTCATAGATATACTGTCCCGAAATTGGTTTATATTTGTGAAAAAGTTGAATTTTTACTGTTAGGCGGTAGCCGTGTAAAAACGGGCTTGAAGCCGCGAGTTTACTGTACATGACCGCGGGTGACCCCGGATCGAACGGACGTTCGGTTCGATTGACGTCATATCGAACATGATTCGATTCGAATGACGTCATATCGAACATGATTCTGTTCGATGAAAAGGTTGGAATATTTGGGCCCAAATTTGACCATCGTGGTGCTAGAGTATACAGTGCAATTTTACGGAATACAGTGCAAGTTTACTAGTATACAGTGCAATTTTACGGAATACAGTGCAAGTGTACTAGTATACAGTGCAATTTCATGGAATACAGTGCAAGTTTACTAGTATACAGTGCAATTTTACGGAATACAGTGCAACTTTACTAGTATACAGTGCAATTTTACGGAATACAGTGCATTGTATACTACTAAACTTGCACTGTATTCCGTAAAGTTGCACTGTATACTAGTAAAATTGCACTGTATACGCTGGACATGTACGTGATGCGACAGACGTTTACTATCATGCCAAAAGATGGCGGCGAATGTTTATTTTGAAAGCTTGAGGATTGTATTCGGAAGGAAAGCTTGTATTTGGGAGGAAGCCCCATAATTTTGCAGTACAGGGAAGAGAAACTGTTGCTGTAGAATAACTTTGCCACAGGAATTTGAACGATGGAGGAGTCCTATAGTGGCACGTTGAAAAGTTCTCAATGGTGGGACGAGTAGTGAGACTTCTTCTGAACAGCGCCTATGAGAGTATCTGTCAGTCATCCTGTAAATTCTACATTGAAAATAAATTCAATGTCAATTTCAAGAAAGCACTCTTCGTGTAAAGGTGCTGATAGCAATATGTATGCTAATATCTGAGAGCCCATATAACCAGTTGTCTAAGGAGTTCCAAAACCACCGCTGGCTGGCTTCAGAGGTCGTTCAGTGGGGAGTAAGTAGGAGCATGAACAATTTATATTTTGGTATAAGCAGACGATATTGGCAATACTGTGGTAGGTTCGAGACGTGAACACTATCCCGAATCACAGCAAATGAAACCGTTAAGCTTCGGTCACAACCCGCCGCACGTGCTTCTGCGTGCTGTCTACGTGCAAAAGTGTAGGAAAACGTAGGGCATCCGTGCGTGGTGAGTACCGCCTCCGTGCGGAATCCTACGGATTGGGGAGCAAGCAGACACGCCGTAGAACTTTGAGTGCATGTAAAACTTTTTTTGCGTGCGGTTTACGGATTCACCACCCGTACGTGCGAGTACGAGCGACGCGCGTGCCCCGTACGTGCCGTGCGGAAGAAGCACGTGTGAGTACGGCCTACTTACGGTAAAGTTGCAATCGCACACACAGAGATTTTACGTTGTAAGCACGTACAACTCACTTACCACTTGCGCAACGTGCGATGCACGCAACCGCTCACGTGTAAGAAACCAGGAGGAGACAGTAGAAACAGATAAAAACCCCTTGGTCCCGGGCCGGATTCGAACTCACGGCTCCCGGGCCACAATCAGACGCTCTAACTGTGTGCGCCTATAAACCCCCAACTGTTACACACGGCTAAACGTGGCGTGCAGACCACACTCTTAGACCTTGCGAAACCGTGCGAGTGACGTGCGTCGATGCCACTCCTTCCCCACGTTTTCAGAAAAAAGAAACGTAGCAGACGTAGCCTCCAAAAAAACGTACGGACAAAAAGCACGTACGGCCGGTTGTGATAGTCGCTTTAGTTAGTTACAACACTGGAATCTCGAATTCCATGTTTTAGATTGCGGAGAGATCTTCTAAAATTTCTTATTAGCTTTTTTACTGTTACTTCTGACGTCATCTCTTTTGAATGGGTACAGAAGATAGTGGCCTGCACAACCCGGTAGATAATTATTTTCATCATAGGTCCTTTATTCCGAAACTTCACTTAAATTGAATGAAAGACCTTTATTGTACATTTTTGCTTCCCGGGTTCGAGTCCTGACATTCCACCGATCTTGTGCCCTTGGGAAAGGCACTTTACACGACTTTCCTCACTTACATGATGTAGCTCAGGTGTAAATGAGTATTGTCCTGTTATGTATTTGTCCCCTGTGTTGGTGGCGGCATTAATATAAGTTGAAGAAACTTGAGTGTGCTGTCACCACGTCTGGTGATTACATGTTGGAATAAAAAAAATAATGATGATCGGGGACGTCCAAAGATTAGTCCAATAATCTCGCCAAGTGGTGTGACTTTGCCTTCCTTTTTAAAGCGTGAGTCGTAAAGAAGCTTTAATCTTATAATGGATCACCTGGCTTAAACATAATGCAGAATTGAAAGTCCCCAGGTGGATATGGGCAAAAATAGTCTCCTTTAAGCTTCACGGTAGTCATGAAGGATGGGACTAGCGGGGTTTGAGGTAATACATCATGTGATTATAAAGGCTAGAACGTGTTGGGTAGCCTGGGGGCCTTAACAATGGCTGCCACTCCAGTTTCGGAAAAATAAAAGCAGAATATCGGTTTAGGGTTTGTTAACGTGAAAGCACACATACACACACGCGCGCGCGCGTGCACACACATGCACGTGCACGCACGCACATACAACGCACACAAACACACACACGAAAACACACACACACACACACACAGACAGACACACACAGAAACGTGTGCACATACACAGAGAGAACATGACAGCCATATGCATACATGTACATACATACATACATACATACACACACACACACACACACATACATACATACACACACACATACATACATACATACATACACACACACACACACACACACACAGACACACACACACACACACATACATACATACATACATACATACATACACACACACACACACACACACATACACACACACACACACACACATACATACATACATACACACATACATACATACATACACACACATGCATACATACACACACACACACACACACACACACACACACACACACACACACACATACATCACACACACACACACATACATACATACATACACACACACACACACACACACACACACACACACACACACACACACACATACATACATACATACATACATACATACATACAGATAGATAGATGAACACAAACTCGAACACAAAAGTTGATCCTTTGGCAGCCCTTGATCGAAATCTTGAAATGTTCACTCATTATGTGCTCAACAAAACGTCGTATAAACCCATAATCTTGACAGACGGAGAAAAATCAGAAACACCAGTGTGCTCATTAGTAGATAAGCTTGTACAGATCTGACTTAGAGTCATTCAGAGACCTACTGTCACCACGGGGATTCCTCCATTAGGCCGGTCCGTGATGGATTGACGACTGACGACCATCCATCCGTTCAGTAGCTCTTCCTAGAAGCGAGGAGGCCCAGTGGACGTTCCTCGTCGAACCACGTATTGTGACAATGACTGAAGGAAGTCATTGAGAGTAGTATATAGTAAAGTGGATTCATTCCACAAGCTAACCGACATCTCGCACACGCAGGCGTCCCTCAGTAAGACATCTGGAGCCGCATAGTTCCCGTTTAGAACTTTTATTCAGCCTTTCACACTCAGTAGCCTCTGTACACTTGAAGAAGCCACACATGCGAAAACGGTCGTGTGACAGGCTGAATAAAAGATGTAAACGGGAACTATGCGGCTCCAGATGTCTTACTGAGGGACGACTGCGTGTGCAAGATGTCGGTTAGCTTGTGGAATGAATCCCCTCTACTATATACTGCTTTGGGGAGTAGTGTTTTGTGATCTGCAAGCTCGAAATAGAATGGCTGCTGTTGGGGGAAATGTCGAATTTCTGATGTGGTACTCTACGTTCACAACGTCAAATGTTTCATTTGCTTGACACCACGAAGAGCATAGACACTGTTAGGTAATTAAACTAATCTGCGCCGTATGTCGTGAAAAAATAGTTTTACCTCCATGAAATTTGGAGGTATAGTTTTGGTCTCTCTCCTCTCTCTCTCTCTCTTTCTCTCTCTCTCTCCCTCTCTGTCCATGTGTGCGTCTGTGTTTCCGCATGGCCCTTAGGTCAGGTTGTTGTGGAGAAAGTCATTAATGACTTCATCTGTTTTTCGCAGGTGTTTTTCGTTACATGACCTCCTTGACAGCTAATAGCTGCTATTTTTCCCCCTTTGCACAATAACTAAGGGCATTGCAAAAGAGGATTGCACAAGATATAAATATTACATGGAGGTCTGAAATATCAGAATTCAGAGCGCTTCCCTTCTAAAGATTGATATCAACATAGAGAAAACTCATATCATCAACTCAGTTTTGTCCCACGACAGTAGAAGACACCATGAAATGCATTTTAACTGGGACAACAGTGCGTTTCTCTATCATTTTCACGCGGCGCAAAGACTTGTCTTCATTGTGAAGCAGACGGCATAATACATGACTATCCGCACTCGTTGTCAGTTGGTGCAAATGGATGTTAGGCCACACCGCCTTAATTTTATGGATGACATCTTCTGAAAACCCCCAAATTAGTGCGCGCGGGCGAATAAAAAAATCCAGCCAAAAATAAAAATGATACTAAAACACATGAATACAAAGTTGAGGTACGTGAATTTGCGGCAGTACATAGCGACGTACACGACAAGCCGACACATGTTGGCTTTTTGCGAAATTTATGAATCGGCACTGTACGTATGTACTGAGTTGTTGAGTCGAAGCGGCAACAACAAAGGGATGAACAGCGACCGGTAAAATTCTACAAGACACACCCTTTGTTGTTGCCGCTTCGCTTCCTTCAAAACGACGTAGTACAAACCTATGATAACCGGCAGGGATAAAATCTGTGCAAGTATGCCGATGCTCCTAAGAACAAAGGCAGTTTGATATGTCTTATTTTCATCAGACATGAGACGTTACCTTCTGCTTTTCTAACAAGGGCAATCGGCACTGCGCCGCAGATGATAGAGAACGCGTCAACAAGACCCAGTGCTGTGGCCAAACGCTTTGTTGTGACTTTGCTTTCATACTGCAGGGGATAACATATGTAATAGTACATGTCTATAGCCATCAGGAGATAGGTGCCGTATGTGGACAGTAATGCTGCAGCGCTAACTATTCGTGTGTCCGAGCAGATTATACCATAAAATCGGCCGTTGCTTTGCAGAATTAGATGGATGTATCTCGGGATCTGTGCCGTTGTGAAGAGGATGTCATTGAAGGCTAGATGGCAGCGTAAGTAGTGGCGAGGCTGTTGGAGATATTCCTTCCTACACACAAGGAGGATGAGAAGAGAGTTAGCGGCTACTATCAGGATAAAACTGATGCCGAGGTACGCTGCCTGGAGACCAGGAGAGGATGGCCCGAGAGTGACCGTAACGTCGGCCTGGGAGCCGTCATGCTGATCGCCCATCTTTCGTCTAGAAGATGCCAGGACCCTGAACACCTTTCCTGGTTGATACTGCACCAGCTCTAGAAAAATATTTCTGACAGCCACCGAATAAAAGCGTAAGAAACAACTGATTGTGTGGTTTGCATGCACGATGGTCTCTGCGTAAATCTGTTTTTGGTGCCGTTTCTTCTGAAAATTAGCTTCAATTCATGGTCGTAACAATACTACATAATCAGATTGCGGAGATACAAAAAAAACGTACGAAGCAGATTGTGTGGTTCGCATGCACACTGTTTTATGCGTCAGTTAGTGTTTTTGAGTCTTTTCTCTGCTGAAAATTAGCTTCAATTCATGGTCCTAACAATACGTAATCAGATCGTTTGTACCGTACAGTGGTGGAGACGTGGGTTTGAGTGAACACTACGATGGTTTGAAACGATAGTTGCGGAGTAGAGGGTAACACTTTGTAAAGGGAAACAATTGTACTTCAGGACATACAATCTATCAGTTGTTGTTTCCATCGTTATAAGTACTTGTTTTCGTGAGCACTGCTTGGCTACTTACATTTAAGAATTGTCAGCCTTGATGGGAGCATTTTGGCTCTTGAAAATTAGCTTCTATTGTTGACTGTAACAATTGTTCATGATGTGCCGTTCCGCGGGGGCGTTTTTAATTTTCATTGCTACGCCGGCGTTTATCTGCTATAGTCATTCCTTATTGTAGCCTAAACAAACGCGCCGATCCTCATCATCATTCTGTTACAACTCCTAAAAGTTACAGTATTGCAGAACCCTTTATGAGGGGAACTGAATTGCGCTGTCCCTTACAATTACAGCTATCTTAACACTAAAATCACAAACCACTGAGATCGCTAATTACGTGTACAATGTAACAGCTTTCATTAAAATAATACATGAAAACTTTATAATATATATAATAGTAGCATTTTAAAATCATAGGTAGAACATTGTAGGTACATAAATAAGCAAGCGTTCATATACATCAATTTGAAAGTTTAGCACGCTTACTCCTTACTAATGTGACACTATAATGGTACAAATATGAATGCAAAATCATATTTTTCGTTTAATGTCTGATCCTCGCTCGGATGCACTCTCTTCCCTGAGTTGGCGAAAGAACGCAATTGTTACCGAAACGGCCTCAATTTCCCGTGGCGGGTATAGCGGACCGCCATTTCAGCACCAAGGACATCGCCCGCGCACGCACTGCCACGTCACTCTGTGTTAGATTCGGACGTTCCCGCTTCCCATTTCAGTAAACCAGTATACATAACCAGCCTATATTACTGCATATTTAACCTTCTACCTGCTGTCTATCCCTAAAACAGCTACCTTACCAAGCAGCCCATATTCCTTCCATTTCAGAGGCAACATGGCATAAGCTAGACTTAAAAATGAACCTTCTGTAACATTCCATGTAACTATGAAAGATCCTTGTACATGTATGATTACGGAACATGATCCTATTGGCTGCAGGATCCCACCCCCACCCCCACATAGAGGTTGGACCAGGGAATGACACGTTGCACAAATTTTACAAGTTTTGAATAGGCCACATCAATACAGTTTCCTGGTTCTTGACATTGTAAAATAAACAACGAACTGCATTTAGTATAAGCAGGAGATCAGAACCAGGGACAGGTACTACACTTTGATTCAAGTTGCTGGATGTTTTATAAGAGATGTTAGAGAACCAAGGAAATAAGTTGGTGCAGGCTTATGGTGAAAACAAAGATAAATAAACATCCAAGCAACTCAACTTTGGCAAGATCAGATGAGATGAAAGATAGAAGTTCAATGTGTGCACGCCAAGGATAGTTTTTCATCTACTTATTAGTCTACCAGTTGGGAGAACCACACCTCAAATTCCCCCAGTGCCGACTGGAGAAAGATTGTTTTTTCTGACAGGAAATTTTGCCAGGAACAGTGTCCGAGACAACTTGATCCAGTTCTGTCAGTATTTGCAGCTTTCAAGGCTTCACTTAACAGTAAGTGTTATTTAGATTCTCTGATACAGGCGAATTTGCAGACTTATGGTGAAAACAGAGATAAACTAGAGTTCCACGATCTCATACCTTCGCCAAATGATGTTAGCCTTTATGAATAAGAAATATACTAATCACCCTGATTATGCAAATAGGATCCTCAATTGCATGAATTATATCAGTCTGTTGATCATATTCTCCACCAAAAGACAGTCTTATCTTAACAAAGAATGCCATTTTCTCATAAATTATGCAAATGTGGTCCTTATTTGAATAAGTTATGTTTAATTATGTTCACCTTCACTTAACTTTCAAACACCCCAAGTATGAAATTCCAGGCAGTTACCACTACGCAATTATAACATTTTCTCATTAATTATGCAAATTAAGTCTTCATTTGCATAATCAATATTTGCCTGTGTTTCTCTCGTTCTTAATAACATATGTTACAAGCTTGAATGGAATGCAGCTGATTTATAGAATTTCCTCATTAATTATGCAAATTACATCAATATTTGCATAATTGTAATATCATTATGTCAAGCATCACTTAAGCTACCTACATACCAAAAATCACGATGATCCATCAATCGGTTCTTGAGTTATCCTCTTTTAAACATTTGTCCTTTAAACCCCCCCTGCAGTTCTAGAGCAAGCCGCTAGGGGGCCTAAACTCACGTCACTTCTTCCCCAGCACAAGAGCTACCTACCATCCAAATTTCCTCACCCTAGCATGTCTGGATCTTGAGATATCAAAACCGGAAGTTCAGCTGCAGTACCATAACAAGCCGCTAGGGGGTCCAAAATCTAATCATTTTGAGGTCTCATCAAGACCTACCCATCTACCAAGTATCAAGACGATCCATCAAGGCCTTCTCAAGTTATCGTGTTGACAGACAGACAGACAGACACACACACACACACACACACACACACACACACACATACACGAACGCCCCTGAAAACATAACCTTCTTGGCGAAGGTAATAAACATCCAAGCAAGTCAAAGCGTTGCAAGATCAGATGAGATGAAAGATAGAAGTTCAATCTGTGCACGCCAAGGATAGTTTAATATAATAATATATAGAATCCCCAAATTTTAATTAAGAGTTTATTTTAAAGGTGGGTAATCCCTTCTGTGATGCAATAACTGTACTTAGGAAAGGAAAGAAATGGATACAGACTGGCCAATTTGATACCGTCTTACCCCACCAAAAGATCTGCTTGGAGATTACTTAAAGAGTACAGTTTGCCTCTTTCCACTTCCCAGCCACCTCCCGAAGCCTGGTAGAGGCTACTCAAGAGGGGCTATGAGCCTCGGAACATGTAATGAAACCATTTAGTTTCATATATCTTCCTCTTTCAAACAAACGTTGTTGATTTTGGTGGGTCTTTGACAGTTTATTCCTAGCTAATTATATAACGTTTCCGCGCTCAACTGCACAGAGTCAACAAGGTGGCACGAGCAGTGAGATAGTTACCTGTCCGCCATGACAGTCCCACCAAAACAACACACCGTCTAACTTTTCTACTTTCTTTAAGCTGAAATCGTCTCACCTGTGCCCCTCTTTCCTTTATATTTACGAATGCGGTAATTTTGCCTTTCTGTTCTTACTAAATGTAGGACAGGTAGCCCACTATTCACAAAGTTACAACTACAGACATATTACAAACATCCTTTGTACGTACTGAGGTTAACGACCTTGCCATCATGCACCGTTACCAAGTCTGCATGCAGGAATTTGTACAAACAACCCACCTACTGGCAGTTGGCGTTCTCAAACAGGTAATAAAACTTTGTTGAAAAAAAATCTAACAATGTTTCATCACTGAAACTCGACAAATATTATGTCATGTGATTTCATCATGAGGCTATATTGATATATATTTATTTATATAGAATCCTCAAATTTTAATTAAGAGTTTATTTTAAAGGTGGGTAATACCTTCTGTGATGCAATAACTGTACTTAGGAAAGGAAAGAAATGGATTCAGGCTGGCCAATTTGATACCGTCTTACCCCACCAAAAGATCTGCTTGAAGATTACTTAAAGAGTACAGTATACCTCTTTCCACATCCCAGCCACCTCCCGAAGCCTGGTAGAGGCTACTCAAGAGGGGCTATGAGCCTCGGAACATGCAATGAAACCATTTAGAGTTTATTACCAACCCCCAAGATAGGGAGGCTGAGAAAGAGCACATCACTCAGGCCCTGCTAAACTGTGGCTACCCCAAGTGGGCAGTTTCCAAGGCAACTGCTCCCAAACGTTCTACAACTGATAGAAACCGTCAGTCAAACTCTTCTACGAGGCAGAACAGAGGTTTAGTCGTCCTACCCTATGTTAAGAACACCTCTGAAGCTTTACGGAGAATCTTCGGGACACATGGCTTAAAAACGTGTTTCAAACCGACCCGTACGTTAAGACAGCTATTAGTGGCCCCCAAAGACAGAACCCCCAAAGAACAAAAGTGTGGCGTGATTTACCACATTCGGTGCGCAGGTCAAAATATCAGAGGACCTTGCCCAGAGACATACATAGGGGAAACAGAACGGTCTCTCAAGACTAGATTTCTGGAACACAGGCGCCCTAGTTCAAACACATCGGAAGTGTCGCAACACATACACATCGAGTCCCCCGGACATACAGTTACATTGGACAAGGTGCGCATTCTAGATACGGAGCAGGATTACTTTGTGAGAGGCGTGAATGAGGCAGTTTACATCAGGGCCCACCAACCCTCTCTGAACCGTGATGGTGGGAGATACCGTCTTCCCGCCACTTTTGATGCACTCCTGACGTCATCACGTTTCCGACTTCCGGAAAGTCAGCGATTGCATCACAAATCTGACGAAGGTTGACGGGATCAGCCGAAAATTTATGGTGAGTTCTCCTTATTGTGTTGGAACAAGTCAAACTCTTTAACTATGTATTCTACCAACACAGATGAGCTTTCATTCGAACATTTAGAGTTTCATATATCCACCTCTTTCAAACAACCGTTGTTGATTTTGGTGGGTCTTTGACAGTTTATTCATAGCTAATTAGATAGAACTGCACAGAGTCAACAAGGTGGCACGAACAGTGAGATAGTTACCTGTCCGCCATGACAGTCCCACCAAAACAACACACCGTCTAACTTTTCTACTTTCTTTAAGCTGAAATCGTCTCACCTGTGCCCCTCTTTCCTTTATATTTACGAATGCGGTAATTTTGCCTTTCTGTTCTTACTAAATGTAGGACAGGTAGCCCACTATTCACAAAGTTACAACTACAGACATATTACAAACATCCTTTGTACGTACTGAGGTTAACGACCTTGCCATCATGCACCGTTACCAAGTCTGCATGCAGGAATTTGTACAAACAACCCACCTACTGGCAGTTGGCGTTCTCAAACAGGTAACTAACAAGTGAGGTCGAACACAACAAGGGTGTGCAGGTATGTCATGTTACTTTCTGAGATATAGCTTTACGACTCTGTACGTGTTCGTGTACGTGTATGAGTACGTGTAGGTAACATTGTATTGTTAAAAGTACCTCTGTCTGAATTGTTGAAGCAATACTTCCTGTCGTAAGTTCTACTTCTAATGGCCTTCACAAGTAGCCGACCTCCCCCCCCCAGAACGAATCGTTTTTTGTGAAGTAACTACTATTATCGACCGGTGTTGATACTGCTTCTCTCCTATTGCGACGATTAACAGGCTACTACAAAAGTGTCTTCCACAAACACGTTAAGTTAACATTGCTAACAGTGCCCACCCTCCCGGAGTTAGCAACTACACAGTAACACGTAGGCATGGCAGGTGAATTTCTACTCACTAGTAGTAAAATCATTCTTTATTCACAAACAAAAGAAAGAAACATTGATCCCAGGTCACATCGGCCATAACTGACCGAACATGCAGGGAGACATTACACATACATGTATGACACTATACAATACATCAGGACATACAATATTGCACTGTTTCCTTAAATATTGCACTGTTTTCATTAAAATTATCACAAGAATTTTTAGACTTTGGCTTAAAAAGATTACCACTTCTATCTAATGCGACTTAACCACGTTATAATTTCAGGGAGTAGGCCGGTATTAATTATCAGTACAATGTAGTTACAGTAAGGTATCTGAGTCCCAATTCGGCTCGTGACGTGCATTCCATATAGCATAGGACGATAAAATGGCAATGCGGCTAATGTCTTTAAAGAAGTTCTTTGGTGGTTTTGACTTAACTACATGAAACAGTGTCCTAAGTCTGCTCTTGTTGTCGGGTGTGATGAGACCCCTGGATCCGATCTCGAAGCAGGTAAGAGTTGTGGTGATGCCTGTTCTAAGGTCTGCCGCTAGGGCTGCATACTTGTTGACCTTACGGTCGTGACTGGTTTTGATATTCTGTTCAAACGGCACGGTCAGTTCCTGAATATGGATTGTGTTTTGTTCTCGAAGGTAAGTGACTAAGTCAGGTTTCTGTGTTGTAGGCAGTATGTGTACCGGCAGAGTCCCCCCGTTGGTCGTGTGTCCTTGGATGTCGGCATATAGAGTGGCGGTGATCTGTGAGAGGTCAATGGCGTCCTGTATGCTGTCCGTTATGTGCTTCAGTATGGCGTTGTGTCGGAATGTGTAGCGTCCTTGTTGAAGAGAGACACTGCAGTGGTTCAGAACGTGGTGAAGTGTTTCCCGCTTCCCGCACAGTTTGCATCTGTCACTGCTACGTTTCCCCCACGTCGCCAGGTTACAGAAGGTAGGCAGGGCGTCTATGGAGGCGCGCACCGCGAAACTTAAAATACCTTTTGGCAAGTTGTAGATGGTTGACCGCCACGTCAGATCAAACTTCTCCTCCTCAAGCAGTTGTAGCATGTGTCCTTGTTGCAGTTAGGTTCTTTTGATGCTGACTCCACGCATCATGGCGCATGTCAGTCACCTGTTGTTTGATGTGTTTGCGTACTGAAGGCCATTCTAAGTCTTTTGCCGCGCAGGTGGCTTGTTGGTGGATGGTGTGGCAGGTTTTAATACCCCGTTTCTGCATTTTCCTTGTCCACTGCGATTCACGGTCTAATTTGGCGTGTACAGCGTGTCGTCAGCTATGAAAGTGGACCTACTGTAGGCTAGAGTGTGGGCTTCAAGGTACAGGTCTGATATGGTTCCGTAGTTGAGACCCCTGGTGTTGTACAGGATAGCGTTTGTAGCACTGGGTTGCATTTTCAGCCAAGTTTTGATCGCCTTTGTGTGGATAGCATCAAGCTTTTGTAACTGTGTATCTGTCAGATCATGCACCATCAACATGTACCTCCAAGATGGGAAAGCATACTCCATGTATACCCTGAGTTTGTATTCGTTTCTTATGTCTGATTTGTTTATGTTTTCGATAGTTGTTTCTACTGTTTTCACCAAAATGTCATAAGTCTCTTTTGTTTTGCTTGAGAATGTTATGTAGCCTCCCAGGAATTTCTCCGGTGCATCTTTAGTCGTTTTAACAGGGTCTCCCGCGATCGTGAAGCTAATGTCCGTTGATTTGCCGCTCACGATAGACATGGACTTACACTTGCATGGTTTCAACGATAGGTTCATTGACTTGGTGTTGGAGGATATTTGAGTGATGAGTTTCTGGTGTTGTCTTTTGTTGGTTGTTATAAGGCAAAAGTCGTCCGCGAAAGGCAGTGTGATGTAGTGCTGGCCGTTTAGGCAGTACCCGTGTTGTTGCTCTAGTCCCTTAAGGTGCTGAAGGATGGGCTGGAACACTGTTAGGAAGATGTAATACTATATAATGGGTTCAGGGAAGAAAATCTAGTCATCACTGTAGTATCTAAGTATGTTCCAACTTCTGTGGTAAATCTTGATATTTTCTTTCGACAGATATTGAACAGTTGAAGGTTGAAGGGTTGAAAGGGTTTCGTACCTCACGTGACTTGTGGGTGAAAGCCAACTGTTATGGAAATGCGCATGCGCTGGACAGAGATATCTGCTTTAGAGAGTACGTGTAGCTGGTTAAGGGAATCTTGTGGAAACAACCCTCAAAATCAGGATGGGACAATGTAAAGGTGAACTTGATTAATAGAGGAGAACAACCCGAGAATAAAGCTGGATCACTGACCACGTCACCCCAAGTGTTAAAGTCGTAAGTAATGAGTACATTGTTATGTTGTAGCTTTGAGTCACTCTACTTACAGATAATCCTGGTGACTGGTTGAAATAAAAGAAGGCATATTCTGTAGCAAACTCTTCACATTCCCACCGAACAATGTCATGCAAAAGCTCGGTAATTCATGATAAAATAGGTTTGTATTGTGAACACCGATTGTCTTTACTTTGTTAATACAAAACGCAGGAGTTCTGAGACACTCTGATTACAAACTTAGTAGAGTGACTTGTTGAAATTAGAGCTTTTTTTGCAGCTATTTATTTCCCATCTCACGTCTAAAACATGAAAATTTTGAAAAATAAACCTTCTAAAATGGCATTTCGTGCATTTTTGAGAGGATTTCCAAGAAAAAATCAGAGATAAATTTTTAAGGGACAAAGGGAGCAGTTTTCTACGATTCCAGTCCATCTTTTTTCAAGAAAAATCCTGGACCTTTACATAAAATGTGGACCAAAAAGTGGACCTTTACATAAAATGTGGGACCAAAAGTGGACCTTTACATAGAAAAGGTGGAACCAAAAAGTGGACCTTTGAGCCTTGTGGGGGGGGGGGTTCTTGCGAACCCCCGAACCCCCCTGGCTACGGGCATGAATAATACTAGGGGTTAAGTGTTTACTTATATTTGTATACTACATCAGCAAACACCCAATTAGCTGCGCCTGCCGACAGCCCCCTCTCCCATGTTCAATGTTCAGTCTAAAGGGTCACACGTTTTTTGTCGCTTCAAAGTTAGTCGATTGTTCAGATAGGCTTGAAGTAGATAAACCCATATTAAACGCCGGGTGATTTGCGTTTTATCTAATAAGGTGGGTGGTTCACAGTGAAGACTGCGCAACTGTCTTAACAGAGAAAAATTAAACAAGTCACGGATATATAAAGCATGGCCTGGCATGCTTTGATTGCGTCCTTACGTCGTTCCGTCTCTTCACGTTTGTCGCAGTCGTAATTATGAGTCTCCTAGCCTTACTACCAACTGTAATATCACAGGGAACGGTGGATCCAACATGGCGGCAGGTCTGAACCTCCAGCCTCAGCGGACCGTCGATGGTCGCCTTTTTCTTGACCTGAGTAACCAGGGTTTGACGTCCATCCCGGAGGAGGTGTTTGATATCACCGACCTGGAGATTCTAGTTGTGTCCAACAACAAACTCACCAGCATCCCGGTAGCGATCGGCCGTTTGCGGAAACTTGAGCGTTTAGGCGCTACCGGCAACAAGCTGACAAGTTTGCCACAGGCAATCGGGTCCTTGCAGAAATTGACACACCTGTACATTAATGATAATGAACTGACAGAGGTTCCACCAGGGGTTTGTTCTCTGTCCAACCTTGAGCTATTGAGTGCCAGTAACAACAAACTTTCCACCTTACCTCCTGGTGTGGAAAAGCTGCAGAAATTGAGAGAATTGGGCATTGGTGGTAATAAGCTGACAGAGGTTCCACCAGGGGTTTGTTCTCTGTCCAACCTTGAGGTGTTAGCTGCCCAAAACAACAAACTTTCCACCTTACCTCCTGGTGTGGAAAAGCTACAGAAATTGAGAGAACTGCACATTAATGATAATCAGCTGACAGAGGTTCCACCAGTGGTTTGTTCTCTGTCCAACCTTGAGGTGTTGAATGTCTGTAACACCAAACTTTCCACATTACCTCCTGGTGTGGAAAAGCTGCAGAAATTGAGAGAATTAGGCATTGATGGTAATCAGCTGGCAGAGGTTCCACCAGTGGTTTTCTCTCTGCCCAACCTTGAGCTGTTGGATGTCAGTAACAACAAACTTTCCACCTTACCTCCTGGCGTGGAAAAGCTGCAGAAATTGACAAAACTATACATTAAAGGTAATCAGCTGACAGAGGTTCCACCAGTGATTTGTTCTCTGTCCAACCTTGAGGTGTTAAGTGTCGGTCCAAACCCCATCCGACGTCTCCCCGATGAAATCAGGCGACTCACCAGGCTGAAGACTCTGGGTGTTATAGAATGCCAGTTTGAAGAGTTCCCCAGACAGGTGCTGCAGCTGAAGACACTGGAGAAACTGTATGCTGGAGGATGCAAGTTCGACACTGTCCCAGATGAAGTGGGAACTTTACAGCATCTATGTCTCTTGCATTTGGAATATAACCTCCTCAGAACCCTGCCGAGCACCATGAGTCACCTGCACAACCTACGTGTGGTCCAGCTCTGGGACAACAAGTTCGACACATTCCCAGAAGTCCTGTGTGAACTGCCGGCCATGGAAAAATTGGACATAAGGAACAACAACATCACCAGGCTTCCAACCGCCCTTCACAGAGCAGAGAAGCTGACGGACTTGGTTGTTTCTGGAAACCCCCTGACATACCCTCCATGGCATGTGTGTGTACAAGGGACTGGCACCATCATCGCCTTCCTGACACAGGAGACTGAGAAAGGTAAGATTTTAATCGTTATAAACTTGGTGAATAGTATCTGAGAAAGGTAAGTACTTGATGAGTGCAAGTACGAACATGAGCCATGGAAATGACATGTTATAAGCTTTAACTAATGTTACCACACAAGTAGGAAATAATCAAATAATCAAAACTGCCTTTCGATGATGATAAGTATTTCTTAATGATTTTTTTATTATTTCACACTCACACATATAATCCATATTCTCAATATGTTTCCGGTAAATGTATCGATGCGTTTTCCCACTAGAGTCAATGGGAGATATTTTCGTTTATATTGGTACAACATTATGATATTCAGTATCTAGACTTTTTCTGTCTTTCTAGGTATTGATGAAGTGATCCGCCATACGTTCAACCAACTGTCCGTGAAGGTGAAACAGACCCAGTGGAAACCACTCGCCCGGAGCCTGGGGTTCAACAACTCGGAGATAGCGGCCATCAAGGTGAGATTGCACATATGCAGAGAGACCAAGAACTCAGCGTGATGATTTTTATATTCGGAATTGTTTGTAACGCAGCATCTCTTAATTGTTTGTCTTCTGCTTATCAAGTCTAATGTAATAAGTGGTACGTTGTTATTGGAAATAAAACACATGATTTCAAGTGGAAATTTAAAGTAATCAAACATTCAGACGTCTTCCTCGACGCCTTGTTTTACTAGGCTTCCGCCCCAGACGACGTTCCTGACCAGGTGTACCAGACCCTGGTGGAGTGGAAAATGAAGAAAGGTGAGGCGGCCACACTTCCTGCCCTGCAGCAGCACCTGAGAGAACTGGACTTTCACCAGCTAGCAGAGCTGCTGCCACAGACACCCGGGGTGGGTAGATGTTAATATGTCAGTTTTATTTGTTTTAGTTTTTCCAAAATGGATTTTCAGGAAACATCTTTAACATGTCTATCAAGTTTTTCAAATGCGCACAATTTACGGTACGTGGTCTTGGATACTGGTAGCCAATGGGCAAATTTGATACTTTCATATGAACAATTCAGGGCGTTAGACGTGAAGGCAAAATTGCAAACCAATGCAACACCGTGGCTGCTACATATATGTATATATATATATGTGTGTGTCTGTGTGTGTAAAATGTATATATATATATATATATATATATATATATATATATATATATATATATATATATATATATATATATATATATATATATATATATATATATATATATATATATAGTACGTACGTACGTACGTACGTACGTACGTACGTAACGTAACGTAACGTA